CCCCTGCCCAGAGCAGGAACCAACCTGGGATCCCCAGATGACCAAGATCAGGCCTGATGCCTGATCTCCAGCCTGGTGGTCCCGTCAGCAGTAAGGAATGGGGAGGTAGGCCCTGAGGAGTTAGCATCAGTGTCCTTTAAACACTACTGATGGAAAGGAGAAATTTTGTATGTGTGTATATACAGGATAGTTAACATAGTTGATCTACTGTCTTCTACTTCTTTGCTGAAAGTTAATGAGTCCTTGATTGATCAATATTGCATGTTTCTATTTGTTTTCATGAGAAACCACTTTGAAGATATCAATATGTAAAACAACAAGCATTAATTTCCCACTTTGTAACTCTGTATTGTTTTTTGCTATTTTGTAAATGGTTGTCTGTTAATGTTTTCCTCTTTTTATTTTTAAAATAAAAACAGAACAAAACACTACTGATGAATTCGAAGCAGACAGAATGGCAAGAGTAAAAGACCTGGAGAAATCTCAAGAGTGCTTGGAGGCATTAACATAGTAGGGCCCAGGGTCCAAGAAGCCCAGGCCAAAGAAGGATTGAATCATGGACAGCAGTTAAGCTATAAGGCCACTCAATAAATTAATTCGGATCTTGTCTTCTAACCTGGCAGTGAGACTAAACGAGCAGAAGAATGTCAGTGAAGGTCAGTCTGAGTGTGGCCACACACTTGGAGGTTCAACATTCTCTTGTTCATGAAATACTTACTGAGCACCGACTTAGTAGTGCCAAGTGATGCTCAAGATCCTTAAGTTACATCAGTGAAAGACTCTTCTTGCCTTTTATGTTCTTATATTCTCACCGGGGTAGACATAAACACAAACGTTATTTTAAAGAAATTATAGTTAGCTGGGTGTGGTGGCACACGCCTGTAATCCCAGCACTCGGGAGGCTGAGGCAGGAGGATTGTTGCGAGCTCCAGGCCAGCCTACGCTACAAAGTGAGCCCAAGGCCAGTCTGAACTGCATAGCGAGACCCTGTCTCAGAAAAACCAAAAAAAAAAAAAAAAAAAAAAATTATGTTTAGAATGTAAAAACACACATTAAAAAAAAAAGAAGAGACGGTAAGGGAGGTCAAAGGTGCTGACCTGCAACTGTACATGGCATGGACAGAGCACGCTTTGCTAAGCTGACATCTGAGCAAAGGCTTAAAAGAGGGACACAACCGCACAACTGTCTGTGGAAGAATGTCGTAAACAGGAGCAGCCGTAGCTTGGCTGGAGGAGTGCTTGATGACAGGGAGTAAAGTAACAGAACTGCTGCAAGATGAGGCCACAAACCAGCGCTGCGGCGGGGAGGAGACCTGGAGGAGAAAACTGGCAGGACTGGTGACTGCTTGGAAACAAGTAACGGGTACTCCAGGCATGTTCTATTCTCCAGGGCGAACAAATGCACATCCCTCCTCTGAGCAGGCACTGAAAGCCTCACCACATGCTGATGCTCCTGGGCCCCTGCCTCCTAACTCCTGGGCTTGCCCTTCAGTGACCCTCCCTCCCCGCCACCCCGCTAGCTCCTCTCCTGCACCTTCCATTGTCCCTGCCTGCTCTCCCGTCTGGAGGGATGCAGCCGTGCTTCTCCCGAGTCCTGCCTGTCTTGTGGAAGCTGCCGAGGCTCACAGACCCCCATAACGCACAGTTCAGTGAGCGGCCCACCCTCAGCCTGCAGCCCTGCCTGTCTTCCTCCTGTCCCTCCTTGTCTCCTTCCCAGTCACAGCAGCAGTCTCACACTTCCACCAGCTCCCTGACCCCACTCGGTCACAGAACTGACTCCCATTTCTCCTCTGCCCGATCCGCACACACCTTCCTCACCTGGTTTCTTCCTCCTACAAGGAGTCACCTCTGCAACTTCCTGAAAGGGCTGGCCCCACTTCCTTTTGTAACCAAGGCCTAACAAGTTATGCAAACAGAAACCACACTGGTGGATTAAAGACAAAGTGGGAAGTAAAAAATGATACACGAGGGTTCTCTTCCAGGCTCCGTGAGGCTTTCTCATTCCAAAGGCCTCGCCTCTCCCGGGCTCCTCCCTACCATTCCTCCCACAGGACCCCCTGGGCCTTGCAGAGCCCAAGGGGAGGGAAAACAACCTAGAGTTGCTGGCCACCCCTTTCTCAGTTTGTGGCTTATTTCTGCATCCCCTGAGATACAGATCCTGTCTTCCCAGGGGGATTGACCCCAGCTGTTTCCCTCCACATAACACTATCGTCCTGCAGCCCCAGGTGGTACCTCGCTGACACGCAACCCGGCTGGGAGTTGGGCTCAGGGGCCTTGCAATGCCACCCGACTGAGTCACTCTCACAGCAGCTTCCATGCTTACTCCACGTGATGCCTCACCCTGGCCACGGAACAACAGATCAAGATGGGGCACTGTCCAAGTCCAAGTCTGCAAGAGTCTGGCTCAGAGATCTAGAGACCTGCGATACTCAGCACAGTTAATGGCAGGAAACACACAACAAAGATATTAAGAGAAAAAGGAGGGCTACGGATATAGCTCAGCGACATCTGCCTGGCAAACACAAGGTCCTAAGTTTGGTTCCTGGTACCAAAAAAAAAGGAAGAAGCAGTATGTAAAAGCTGAGATGGAGTAAAACCCCTGCAGTACTTTTTTTTTGGTTTTGCAATTTGCAAATGTCTGGAATTATCAAGGTTTAGCTTCCAAAAGTCCTTGCTCCATTGGCAGGACATATATGATGATTTTTGGTAGGAATTATGACTATAAGTAGTCTAGTTTTTATATAGCTATGAAGGGAATTTTTAAAAATTGTGAACAGCATAGAACTTTATTTCTTGCTGGGCATGGTGGCCCACACATGTAATCCTACAACTTGGGAGGCTAATGCAGGACTGCTGAAAATTTGACACCAGCCTGGGCTACACAGTGAGTTCAAGGACTACATAGCAAGACACTGTCTCAAAAATAAAAACAAAAAAAAAAACACCCCAAACTTTATTTCTTAATTTTAAAATATGCTGATATAACCTGTATATATAGATCCTCATCATTTTGGTACTTGAAAATAACCAATGCAAGCTGGGCATGGTGGTACATACCCATTATCCGTCAGTACTCAGGAGGCTGAGGCAGGATTGCCACGAGATGGAGGCCAGCCTGAGCTACACAGACTATCTTGAAAAACAAAAGCAAAAAACCCAGTGCACCTTCTGAAGCTGTTGTGTCAACTTTCAGTGTCAATGCAGTGTAACATACATGAGCTGCATTTTAGTCACGCTACCTTGGAGAATGGAGGTAAGGCCACTGCTTGTAGCATGACACCTGAATCGCCACAGCATCCATGATCACCTTTAGGGGATTATCGTGACCCTCTTGTATTTGAAGGGACTGGTGGGGCAGTCTCTGAATACTTATCATCTGTCCTGACTATCCTCAGGGTCTTTCACATCACTCAGGCTGAACTATCCTTGAAAGCAAAGGATGTGGTGCTCAATAGCAGAGCACTTGCCTAGCATGTCCAAGGCCCTCGGTTTAATCCCTAGCACCAGAAGAAAAATAATAAAAGTCCTGACCTTAGCTTGCTGCCCCTGTGATCACCTCATCCTTCCTTAAAACCCTTATTATGGGGGCTGGGGATTTAGCTCAGCGGCACAGCACCTGCCTGGCAAGCACAAGGTTGTTGAGTTTGATTACCAGTACCACAAAAAACAAACAAACAAAATAAAACAAACCCTTATCATGACTGATAGCTCAGTGTGATTACAGGCACATGCCTATAATCCCAGAACCTGGGAGGCTGAGGCAGGAGGATTGCTGTGAGTGCAAGGCTAGCCGAGATGACAGTAAGGCCAGCCTGAATGACATAGCGAGACCCAGTCTCAAAAGAACCAAAACAAAAAATCCCACATGAATTGAGTTTCAACTTTCTTTCTCATGACTGCACACCCAGGTTGCTGGATGCATTGGAAAAAAACTTGAGATCCAGAGAAGGCCCAATTGATTCAACTTTTTGGAGCCCAACCCACTTTGGTGCCCGACAGCCCTCGGCTACTGGTACAACCTTTGCTTCTCCCTCATGCACTTGACCTTGCCACAGTAGGTCTAAGGCCTAAGTGAAGCAGAAAAGGGGCAGCAAGGGGCAGCAAGGGGCAAACCGCCATGGGTGAAGCCCAGAGAAGACACGGGGTTGAACACTGCCCACCCCGCCCCTTCAGCGCTGGAGACTGGGTGCAGAGCTCAGGCTGACTACATCAGTAGCCCCTTCTGTTCAGGTCCTCAGATTGGGCTCAAACTTGCCACAGCCTGAGTGCTGGGATTACAGGCATGCCATTACGCCCAGCAACTGAGGCTTTTACAATGGTAAAAAAGCATTCATAAAATGAGTCATTTACTATAACAGCAATGAGCATTTATATAGCACTAGGCACCCAGGAGGTATCTGTCAAATTTATCTCATTTAATTCTCTTTTAACCCTATGAGATAAAAGCTTTTTTGTCTGTACTGGGGCCGGAACCCAGGCCTTCACACTGAGTTACATCCTCAGCCCTTGGTTTTCACTGAGACAGGGTCTCACTAAATCGCCCAGTTTGTACTTGAACTTTTGACCTCCTGCGTCCGTCTCCCAGATTACAGGCACGCTGCCCCACACCTACTGAGGTAAACACTATTGTACTAAAATGAGAACACCAAGGCCCTGAGCAGTAACTCGGCCAAGGTCACAACAGCAACTTCCCAGGATGCAGCCCTCGGCAGGCTGGTGCCACAGCTGGCAGAGTTCCTAAACCAGCCCAAACGAGGCGGCAAACAGCTGGATTCTCATTACTGAGGCTGTCCGTGTGGCGCTGGGGACGGCCTCGCAGGCCTCCCGACCGCTGGGCAGGTCCTCTACCACGGGCTAGGTCCCGGCCCCGGGCCTCCTCGCTACACTCGGGCCTCCCTACACCAGCCTGAGCTTCCCCTGCCCTCTCCCGCCATCTACTGCCGGAGGGCAGAGGCAGGGCCCGTTCCCCTCATCGCGTCTGCACAGCAGCCAGGCACAGGCTCGTGGGGCGGACGGCAGAACCTTTATTTCCCGGCTCTTCCCCCAAGCCTCCGTCTGGAGGCCAGGTGCGGTGTGCCGGGAAGCGGAGTACGCCCCGCTCAAGCCCCGAGCGCGGCCGAGGCCCCGCGCCCGCCGCTGCGCACAGCACCGGGGCCCTTCCCCGCGCGCCGGGCGGAGCAGGACTTCTGCGGGCCAGGCTTCGCTGGGGACGTCCCGCTTCCCGGGAGAGGCAGTCACCCCAGTCACTCAGGCCCGAGAACAGCCTGGCTCCGCAGGGTTCAGGGCCGGCCGTCTCGAGGCCTTCTTTGGGGTCGGGAGCCACAGCTGGAGCTGGGCACGGAGCCCAGCCCGGGGGGCGCCCCTGGGGGCTGGTAGCCACATTCACTGGGGTCCAGGGGGTCGCGGCTGAGCAGCACCCACACTGCAGGCACGTGGCGGCGCACGGTGAGGGGGTCCAGGCCCGTGTCGGGGGAGGCCGGGACCCAGCTGTCCTCCGTCTGCAGGAAGCGCAGTTTGGTGAGCTGGTGCAGGCCGGGCACGCGCCGCTTGACGATCTCCGCACAGCTGACCGCCTTCCCGGCCGCGCGGCCCGAGCCCGAGAACACCACGTGCCGAGTGCCGCCGCCCTCCAGCCGGCCCAGGGCCAGCCCCAGCAGGTTCCGGATCTTGCTGCCATCTCGCACACGCATCTCCAGGGTGCCCGGCGGCAGCTGGGGCACCGGGGCGGGCGCCGGGAGCTCCACGGAGCCGGCTTTGCGGTAGTGCTCCATCCTGCCGGCGGCGGGCGGCTCGCGGCCCCTGCGGAGGGGTCGGAGAGCGACTGCTAGACCGGGCGCAGCCGTGCTCGCCGCTCCCCGCACCCCGGGGACGGGCCACCCCCTCGCCCCGCTCCTCGCCCCGGGAGAACGCTCAACCTCGCGCTCCTGCTCCTAGCCCGCTGCGCAAGGCCTGCGCCCGCAGTCCGCGGGACGGGACCTGCCCCCGCGACACCCGGCTCGCGGCAGG